CCTTTAACTGTTTTAATATTTTATTAAGTACCTACTGTACAAAAATGTGTTCAGATATGGAAAGAAATAAAACTCTGACGAAATTTGTATTTGAAGAACAGTTTAATGAAACTATCAGGACATTTTTGAATAGGCTGAGTTGTTATTTTAACATCTTCCAATGAATCCAGTGAATTGATATACCTTAGAAATTTCATCAAATTTCTATTTTCATAATTTCTCTGTAACATATACATATGTACCACGCGCAGTTGATCCGCATTTGTTTGTCTGTGCAATATAAGCCACAATATTGGGTCTTTCGACTTGAAATTTTGAGGGTAAGCTCCTGAGATACCTTAAATTTGATGTATAGATTTTATTAATGATCTGTCGACAGGAACCTGTTGTCGTCGATGTTGATCGACGTTGTATCGATAAAGACAGTGTTTCTGTATCGTTTTTCTCATTTTTGACATACATATAGAATCGATTGGAATTACTAAAGCTCTATAACTCATCGTTGACCATAATACCTGATCGTCATTGACGTCAGTCGTGGAATCAACAATAATCGTGTTCAATATCGTTTTCGATAGCTCCAAACACATTTAATTGTTTGGAACGACTTTAAAATCCCAACACATACATATTATTCTTGTTCTACCTATCCATCTACCTACCTAATATAGTAGCTCCTCTAAAATTTAAATACGAAATTCGAATTTGTATAAGGCACCTGGTGGACCCACTATAAGTTCTCAAACATCGGAAGAAGTTAATCTTATACTTTAAACGAAAAATGGTTAATCATGCACTAGAAAATTGTGGTCAAAGAAAAACTTTATTTGATTAAATTTTTACCTTCTTTAGAGTCCACAACCACAACCTGTTTCGGTTAACTTGTAAGCTATCAAACTTCTCGGGTCAAAGCACAAGTAATCCTATTTGTACAAAACTAAAATTATCCTTCGTAATGAATCAGAATTTGTAGTCTGCTTAATGAAGTAATTTGCGGTATTCAAAGAACATCTGCAGTAAGTCTTGAGAATGTAGGTGCACACCGTGTCAAAGGCTGAGGTTTATCTGTTAGCATTATTAATTAAATGCACCTCGGATATATCTCGTGTTGGAACTTTAATCTCTATGCAAACTTATATTCAATTAGATACTGCGCGATTATTTGAATTATATATTGGCTGGTACTTTGTTTTGTTTTATGAACGGATTTTCTGACACTCCAATTTTCAATTTTGCTATTTTTACACTCTCCCATTGCCAATTTTTTCGTTTTTAAATTTTTCACTTTTTCAATTTTTCAATTTTTCAATTCTTCAATTCTTCAATTCTTCCATTCTTCAATTTTTCAATTCTTCAATTCTTCAATTTTTCAATTTTTCAATTTTTCACTTTTTCAATTCTTCAATTCTTCAATTTTTCAATTTTTCATTTCTTCAATTCTTCAATTTTTGAGTTATTCAATTTTTCAAATGTAAAGTTTTTCAATTCTACAATTTTAAAACTTTTAAATGTTTTAATTTATGAATTTTTCAATTCTACCATGCTTCAATGTTGCAGTGTTGCAAGTTTGATAGCTTCAGTGTTAAATATTAATTACTTGAATATTGACCAATATTTGTTAAGTATTAATAATATCAAGTAATGCTTCTTAAGTTTTCACAAATTCAGCATCGTGTAATATTTCTTAAGTATTAATAATTCGAGTACCAAGTAATACTTCTCCAGTATTAATAAGTACAATAAATTGTCCAGCCAAAAGCCTTTAGCCATTGTGAAGTGGAAGCACGTTCTCAGCAAAGCATCGGTTGCTTTTCGATAAAGCGGGACACCCGTAGCCGTGCAGGTCCACCCGGCAGATCAGCCTATTAAATGGATGGTGGGCGAGTGCCAGCAATATTGAGTTACGTGGCAATACCCTAAATTGCTTGACCGACCAGGCATCGCCATAAGCTTCGGCAGGGTCTTCGGTTTGTACGTTGGTCTACGGGATCGATCGCAGCTATAATTACTGCGCGGCTAAGTGCACGACACATCCTTCGACTTCATCGTTCCAAGAATCGACGACGGTGTCAACTCAAGTTGGCAAACGAATGGACGTTACGACATGGCTCGATATTTTGTATCCTGACGGCGAACAAGTGTCCTGCAGTTTGCTACTTTATCGATCGATGTATGGTAACGAATTTGCCTTCCGTAGGGAAACTATAATGTGAGTGCAACCTACCAGTTTATTTCTTGAGAATTGCTCATTTCTGTTTGATTAAACATTTAGTTAATTTGGATGATCAGGGATTTGGGGAACTTGAAATGGGGATTTATGAATATATGATAATTTGAGGGGATAGTATAATAATAATCTATTGATCTATCAGTCTATTAATATTTCAATATGTCAATATGTCATTATGTTATTATGTCAATATGTCAATATGTCAATATGTCAATATGTCAATATGTTAACATGTCAATATATTAGGATATCAATACATCCACATATGGATATAGCAATATATCAACATATTAACATATCAACGTGCCAACATATTAACATATCAACATGTCAACATATTAACATATCAATATGTCAACATATTAACATATCAACATGTCAACATGTCCAGATGTCAACATACCAACATGATAACATATTAACATATTAATATATGTCTTCATTTCAATATGTCAATGTATCAACATATCAACGTGTTCACATATTAATATATTCACATATCAACATGTTCACATATCAACATATTCACATATTAACATGTTCATATATCACATGTTTACATATCAACATATTCACATACTACAATAACATGTATACATATCCACATGTTCGCATATCAATATGTTAACATATCATATCAAGATATCAATATACATGTATGTATGTCTACATATCAATATATCAATATATGAATATATCAATACAACATCCTTTTTGAACATCCTTTAAAAAGACCAATAAACTATAAAATTCCCTTGACATTTCTCTAAAAAAATAGAAAAGAACCCATCGCTTCAGATTCGAAGCAGGACAAAGCAAAGCAAGCAAGAGAAGGGAAGCGAAATAAAAAGGAATTTGCCAGATCGGAATATAATTTCGAAAGTTCTTCGAGCGGAATACGGTATTCGGCAGACGTCAAATTCGTTTCGCGAAGACACGCTGCCTTGGCCGATTATTTATGAAAAAGGACACGGCGTCGCACTTTTTCGTGGCTACGGCGGAAAACGGAGAGAAACGACAAATGGCGCGGGAGAAATAAAAATGGCAGCGATGTTTCGACGACGTCAGGAATTCCTGAGGTAAGGCTGGTCGATCGATCGCTCGCGCGATTTCCAATGCACCTCTTCCTGCATTTCAAGGAACCGGCCGCGATAAAGAGGGCATTTGCATGCCCAGCGATTTGCGATTCGGCTCGCGGAGAATGCCAGGCCCGCCAGCAAGACGATGGGAGAATTTTTCTTCCCGCGAAATCGACAGATATTTGTCGATACCGGATCGCGCTACTTGAAACGCGAGTAATTGCACTTTCACGCGAATCTGAATAATGGAATTTTGTAATTGGGAACGAATAAATTTACAGCGGAATTTATGCTGACCTTAACACTGCCATTGGGGCGTTTAGAGATACGGTGAGACTCACTTTAATGTGTATTTTAGTTCTAATGTGTATTGATGGTTTAATGAAAGGAGTTGTGATGTGGAGCATATGTGGATCAGCTTTTGTGTGTACATGAAATGCTCTGTTAGAGTTTTCGGGCAATGTATGGTGTAGGATGCGTTTGGCTTAATTGTTGTGGATGTATGAGATTAAATGTTTAATTTGAGAAATTGAAATTTGAGAATTTGGAAATTTTTAAGGTTAAAAGTTTGTGAATATACAAATATGGGAACTCGGAAATTTGACAGAGTAGAAATTTGTGAATGTAGAAATGTGGAGAGTTGGAAATTTGTGAATTTGGAAATGTAGATATTAAGAAATTTGAAAGTAATGAAATTGGAGAATATTTTACATTGAGAATTTGGAAATTCGGAAATAATAGAATTTGAGAATTTTTAAGGCTAAAAATTTAGAAACTTGGAAATAATGGAATTTGGGAATTTTGTACACTAAGAATTTGGAAATTCGGAAATAATAGAGTTTGGGGATATTTTGTACCATGAACATGGAAATTTGGTAGAAATTAAAAAATTTCAAAATGTAATAAATTTGTGATTCTCACATCCTCAACTCCTGAATAATAGGTTAAATGTATTTAACACAAATTTAAGATAAAAGTATAAATCTATAATAACCGAATCTAACAGCATCGCTTCAAAAATTCTCTTCTCTCGTCTTCTCTTAATAAATCATAAATATCGATATATTTAAAATTTCAACCAAAACCCTACCAATGAAGTAAATTGTCATTTGTTCCCTTTGGAACGGTAAAAATCGATAGCTACTTTTCTTCTTTTCTTCACCATTGGACTGAGAATTCTCCCACACGATTTCACACTTTATCTAACCCCTTTTCTTCTCTATTTTCTAAAGATTAACGATCTCACTGTTGGGCACCTTAGAATTTATTTCGAGTACATAAATCAGGCAGTCTTTCTATGAAACTGGCATAAATGGTTAAAAAAATATCTCCAATTGATCGATCATTACCAAATTAATAAAACATTTCTTTCAGAAGTGATACTGTCTATTAAAAATACTTTATGTGTATATGTGAGGTTATGTTAGATACTTGTATGTGATAGCTATATGTATAATATATGTTAAATATTTGTATCAGGTATATGTTATGTGTATAATATTAATGTGTTAGGTATTTGCATCAATACATGTCAGGTTTTAATATTAAGTATGTGTCACATATGTGTACATATTAGTTACATGTTAGATATTCGTACATATATCAGGAGTATGTTATTTGTATATACTAGTATACACATAATATGTTATACTTTGTATACTATTGTGCATAGTTTGTGTATATATATTTACACATCCTATCCTCTCATTTCCAATTTCTTCATCTTCCACAAAGACCTTTCCGTCCGATTTAATTCGCAGCCAAAGATCGTAGGTCATAGCCATTCCATGTTTGCCACGTTCTATTTGTGACGGATTGTTTGCTTCGTATTCTCGTTTCTCGACCATGTTTTTCGTGCAAAACTGCATTTCGATGTTTCTGACAGGGTCAACGATGCACCAAGGAGCCCTAGCCAGCGAGGTTCCCTCGGAAAATCTTCAATTAGCATTCATAACAGCGTCCCGATTCGAAGGATCGCTCGTTGAATGCAAATGGCTGTGTCACCGCCTGCATTTCGAATTTGTGATTTCATCCGCGACCGTTTCGGGAAATTTGTAATTTACCCGACCGTGTTCCTCTGCACCGATTCGAGGAAAATTCCGTCAAAGTACGAGCTTCCAAAAGTTCAGAACTTGGGAACCGAGGATATATCAGCATCGATTCTTAGGATTCCCACGGGAAACAGGACTTCGTAACACACCTTTCGACCTCTTTTTTTCACATCGATTTACAAGTAGTCGAGAGGTGAAGATTAGAGGTTTTATTGAAAATGGAGACTGAAATCTTCGGTTGAGTATTCTTGCGGGATTAGAAAGAATTTGCAGGCTCTTGGTGCACGTGTCTTAGGAGAAATGTGGTCTTGGTGTTTCATATGTGGAGTTCTAGTATGTTTAGGGAAGAAATTGAGGGCTAAGAATTTGTTAATTTATAACAATATGTGATTTGTAAATTTGTATGTTTGCAAAATTGTAATTTTGTCAATTTGCAAGTTTGTCAGTTTTCAAGTTTGCAAAATTTGCAAGTTTGTAAATGTACAAGTTTATAAATATATATCGTAAATTTTTATGTTTCAAGGCTACAAAATTTCAAATTTGAGGAACTAAAAATTAATGAATTTCTAAATTTGAAAGTTACAAAAATTACAACTCAAGAAAGTTGAAAATATAAATCAATATTTGTATTTTTTTTTTAATCAAACATTTACAATTTGTACTTCATGTTATTGCTTCATTTTATTACGTAATTATATACATGTAGATGTAACATATATTCCCCCCATTATCATGCATAAGCATCCACCTATAAATATTCAAAATTCATACATACAACTCAATTAGTTGAACGATGTTTAATTGTTTTTAAATTATGATTCACGACGCGACATAAAATAAACAAAATTGATACACGAACGAAAATTAATTCCAACATGTTTCGCTAATGCACAAGGAACGTTGTCTAACGAAAAGTGCTCGCGAAGTTGCATTCTCGAGAGCTTGTCGATAATTTACAAGCGTCGAACTTAATATCTCGCCAACCTGTCAAACCGTAAATTATTATCGAAAATATCGGCTGTCCAGAGGGGTTTTCGTTGTACTTTTCTTCAAGAATTTTCCACGAGAATTAGTAACGTTTTCCGACTATCGAGTGTATACATAGTTAACGAAAATTGGCAGCGAAAACTACAAGATTGGCACTTGAACTTTGAAATGACCTTTTTTTAGTAATTCACGAAATTTGTGTTGGCGAAATTTTTTTTTTTTTAATGGAAGACTACTGAGTTTATTAAATTTATGTACTCTAGTTGAGTAAATTAAATTAATGCACTCAAGTCGATTACATTAAATTAATGTAATCACGTTGATTAAATTAAATTAATACAATCAAGTCAACTAAATAAAATGTACGCAATTAAGTTTATTAAATTAAATTAATGCAATCAAGTTGATTAGATTAAATTAATGTAGTCAAGTTGATTAAATTAAATTAATACAATCAAGTTAACTAAATAAAATGAATGCAATTAAGTTTATTAAATTAAATTAATGCAATCAAGTTAATTGAATTAAATTCATGTAGTCAAGCTGATTAAATTAAATTAATGTAGTCAAGTTGATTAAATTAAATAAATACAATCAGTCAATTAAATAAAATGAACACAATTGATTTTATTAAATTAAATTACAATCAAGGCGATTAAATAAAATTAATGTAATTAAGATTATCAAATTAAATAAGTGTACTCAAGTTGAATAAATAAAAGTAATGTATCCAATTTGAAATTGTAATCTATCCAAATTATTAAAATCAAAATTCATTTAAATTATATTACCCAAGATGTCCAACTGAATAAATTTTATAACAATAACGCAGAAAATAGTCCACAAGATTAGAAATAGTATTAAATATTTCAATTGACCTAGAAAATTAGAGTTAAGTTCATTTCGAAAATTTCGAGGTAGCAAAATGTTGTTGACACGATTGAAGCTTATATTTCATTTGCAATTTAATAGCGGCTACTGCTTATGCTATATTTCGGGGTAAATCACATAAAGCTATACTCCATCGCCTAAAACTGCTATTCACGTTGTTCGAGCGTGGAAAACTGATCCTCTCGGAAACGCGTGATTTAACTGAGACCCTCTCGAGCGGCGGTAGTTCATAATGGAAATAGAACTGTCGATAATTTCCAAGAAATATGATACACTCGCGATGATATAAGAGAAGCGGAAAATTATTTTCTAGCCGAGAGAGAGAAAGTGGAGATTCTGTTACCAAACTAAAGCCCCATATGCTGTTACAAGACCTGCATGAATCATTGAAAATGATTCGCACTACCGTTTCAAATCGATCAATTTTTATCGAGAAATTGACTATCGAGGAATTCGCTGTAGTTACAGGTTTGAATGCGTAACACAATTTTTGTTCTGCGAATTTAAGACAATTTCATTGTTCTTTATATCGTTTTAATTAAGTTAATTACTTGTATAGGAACGTTTTTACTTTTTCAATGATAAGAATAAAATATATATTTTATTATGGATTAAGTAGAATTTCATATATTTTCATATAAAATGTACGAAAATATTGTAAAATATTTTGTTATTTTTAGTCCATTTTCATTAAAATATTAAATATTACATTTTATCCATTTTGTGAGATCAGAAAATAAATAAATAATTGTAAAGAATTATTCATACTGCAAATTTGCAATATGTTCCGAGTTGCTCGGAATATAATTAGCTTTAAATTTATGGGTATTCTTTCAAACCCAAAAACGATTCATTCTTACAACTTTGAACGGATCTGTAAGACCACATGAACGTTTCCACAACTTGACGTTCTTAACTATTGTCAATAGCCTTCTAACAGGCCAGAAAAGCACATCTTTCTAATGTCAATATATCTTTCCTTAAAGAAGTTTATTTCCATGGTCCTAAACTGTGCACCCTTGCTGTGTGCAGTGTTTACGAAAATCCTTGCATACTCAGCGGACCAGGCACTCTGACTCGGTCATTCAGCAGTCTCACAATGTGTCCCATTACTAGTTCTTTTGAAGGACCCAAATCACTTAACTGTTTGGGTCACCTTATTAACGAAACGTTATTTACAACCCTGGAGTGAAGCCTAGAATCTTACAATCTCATTCGCTGAACCATCTCACCAATCACTATTTTTT